GATTCATTTTGCATCGCATTGATTACCGTTTATTCTCATTCTGTTTCACGAACATACTTATTATAATATTCACATGCTTCAATCTTTCCTATTTCCTTCTTAAGAGTCTACTTATTAGTTTAAAATGTGCATAACTTTTTTTCAAATATAACGAATATTACGCAAAATTTGTTGAAACTTGTGTATGACTGCACTCCTGAAGAAATCTAAAATGGTTTCATTACAACACTTATGTATCGATAAGCCGTTTGTGAACAATAATCGTTCGTGTAGCTTTTTCAGAACAACGTTTAGTTGATTATACTCCGTAAGCCAAAAAGCAGTATAGAATAAATTTTTCATGGAACTATATGTTTCCATTTATATTTTTTGTATTTATAGCAGTAGAACAAAGCAGATTTCAATCCCTAACGGGCTCAGGTACTTACCGCCTTTCATTTTATTGAACATTACCCTAAGCATTGTTTTCTAGACACATAAATGAGGGTTATTCGAAATATTTATTTGTGTTCAGTCCCCTGCATTCTGTACTGATTATATTACACTTTACTAAGCCCAAATATGTTCTTTGGACTTAATAGACGTCTTATTCCTGATCATCAAGATAAGACGGGTTACTAACGAACATTATGTGTGGGTGAGAAAAAAGTGCTGTCACATCAATACAAATTTACAACTTTTGAATTAGATATCTTCTCACAGTAGCGAATCTAATCATATCAATTTCAAACTACACCATAGTACTTTATTTTTATGATACAACTTTGCATTCAATAAAGTCAACAGCTATTATTAGCTTCAGTTTCTGTAGATTACAACAACTTTCTAGCTCATTCGTGAGACGTGATAACTCCATGTTAGAGTCATTGTGGATTTCATGTAGAATCAGCGTTCGTCTCCTTCCGAATTATTTTAACACTTTTCTTTTTTCATGATGATTTTAAGGAAGTTAACTCCTTCCATCTTCTACCAAGTAAAGCCATATATATGTAGTAATCCAACAAAACATCACCAAGCAATGCAAATGGATGGCGTAAAAGTATCTGACAGCAAGTTTAGAAAAAACTGTAGCACAAATGATAGCAAATTCAGCCGAACTGATAAGTTGGAATAATACACATAAATCTACGGGATTCAGGGAGTGTCTTTGTGTGCAAGGTGAAAAAAAACACTATCGCTACATAGTCATAAATCGATCACTCAGAAAAGTCTGTGTAAAAATGTGTCTGGCAAGGGGAATTAACTTTGTTGATTATGATTCACCAAAGTAAATAGTCTTACCAATTTTCAAACTTTAGAAGCACTTTGGCTTAAAAAATCTAAAGGCTGAAGACATTCAGAGACGGGTTATCACCAGAACACAGAACAATACGATAAGATACACCATTCTCACCTATACTAAACACATAGTTCTACAAATCTGCATGTTAAAATGTATAAAATTTCTCCCGAACATCACAGTCACCATCATCTCTTATCTCAAAACAACTTCTTCATCACGCACCTGAAATCCAGTATTGGGTTATTCTAAGGAATTTGGTTGTCGGGCGAGGCATCATACTGGAGATATTGGCTCCTAATTGACTGTTTTGAATTATCTTTGGTTAACACAAACACATCGATTTTGGTCAGCCACTGGAATTCATCTTTTCACTGGCACTTGTATATTCACTGCGTCGAATGAAAATACACCGTGAGAATTACGTGGACTTCATTGAAGATTCCAATAGCCAATTTGTAACTTTTCTGACATACGTACGACCTTTTATGCTTACATTAGTATTACTTTATCTGGTTAGTGATAATGACTGTCACTTAGTGTTCCTATTGCGATGAAGTTCGGAATCAGTCAATTCGGTCATATCACGATGTTTTGATGAGTAATGTGTAGTTCCTCAGCCTGCACGTCTATAAAGTGTCATATTCATAAGGCTGGCAGCAATATCAGTACATATGCAACAATGGTGGAATAATTTCGAATAGCAGCAACCCATGTAAGGAATATTCACGTTTAGAGGTAAGTCTACAGCGTTACGAATATTCGATGGAGATTTAGTAAGAAAATGAAGAATCCGATGTGTTGTGAGACAAATACTTTTTGAGAAGAAAGACACAATACAAAATTTAGGATCAGTTTTTGTTATTGCACAATGAAACATCGTCCAGTACCTGAATGGAGGAATATATCATCCTCTTACATTTAAAAATGCGTACAAATAAAAGGTATAACAGGAGATATCACTGCCATCACACTCGAGAGCTTGGACAGACAATTATAGTTGGGGACTTGAACTGTATGTCCCTAAATTTCAGAACGAAAACCCACACGGCACAGTCCATTAAAAACTAATGGGTGCCACCGAAACATCCAGACTGTTTTCGTATATATGTGAGGGAGAAAGGAAAACTATTAGGGCTAGAATCAGTACTTTCAAGCAACCAACTACTAACTGAACTCCAAATTTACACCTCTGTGCAATCGAATAAGACGTATATTGACACTGGGACCTAAGAACACCTGCAGTTGCATTGGAACAGAAGCAAAACTGGGAATAGAATATCCAGCAATTTTATCGTGGTAGAATAAATACAGGACCGTACTACACTGGTCTTGTGGTGGACCAAAATGTATGATAACCAAAAATTAGCAACAAAAATATTATGTCTATAGTTTATGTAACAATTAACAGTTAATAAGTTAATTACACACACAAATAACAAAATAAGGGACGTTACTTAAGTCTTCAGGCTATTGCGTGTTCGGCTGGGTTTGGTCCAAATAATCCACAATTATAAAAAATTAGTAATCCCAATATGGACGATATAGATCCAGTAGGTTTACCAAGCGTAGAATTCAATAAGAATGTCGCAGTTGTCTATAAACGTAGATGGTATGCAATTAATATTTCATTCAACTTATTAGCAGACATGGCAGAACGATGCAGATGTGAATTAGAGTGTATTTATTGAGAAGCAGTAACAGTGTCACGATATGTTGTACTCAAAACGGAAGGAAGTCGAGTTACAAGCGTTCAAAGTAATACACTTAAACAACAAGTACAATTGTTTAATGCTTAATGTACAGAATATGAAAATACATGCAAAAACTATGAAAAATCATTTACAAAATAGGTTTTAAGGTTCTATCTCCACAGTCTAATCTTCATTGCATTGAGACGAATTTAACACTGTCTGGAGTGTAAGTCAGTCAGCGTTTCTCATGTTTATGGATCAATAAAATAATAGAATGAAATCAAAAGATAAACAAATGAATATATATAGATAGGTAGATAGATAGATAGAGAAAAAAATAAGAAGGATTGAAATGCAAGACATTCAAATGTAACTGAGAACAGACCAACCAATAGAATTGAACCAATGGATTGTCAGTCACATGCTGGTTTAGTTATTGTATTCGAAAATCACTACATGATTTTGTTCATTTAGCATGTTTGTATGAAATAGCAAATCGAGACGGTACACAGGGCCGTTATTTCAGGCAGAAGGAAGAACCTGACATAAACGAAGGCTTCGTCTGTAATACTTTGACTGTATAACTCACCTGACGCTAAAAAGCAAATACAACACGAAGATGCGAAACAGGAGCCGTACCTTCCTAGCTGAGTTCATTAACAGACTTTAGGCTAGCTATAAATATCTGTATGAGTTCATAGGTTGACACAAGCTTCTCAACCTTCAGACTTGTGCTGTATAAAAGACTAGTGTTGAAGACATTACCAGCTCACAAATTTCAGCTACCTTAAATGTCTGATTCGCTTGACAACTAAACGGATGGCTTGTCCGACGGAAACGCTTTATCACTTCAATTCCGGACGAAGGCCTGAGATAAGTTGAAGTCACTTTTGAAATAGCATCAACCGAACGGTTGTCCATGAGGCTAGTTGAACAACTAGTCTGTAATAATATTTTCCACACAGTTACAAGGCCTCGGCTTTTAAAATTTAACTGGAATTTCATGAATAGTGTACATGCCTTGCTGAAACAGTCGCATAGTGCATGAACCATGCCCAGCTCTACTCATTACTAGTGATTGTGTGTAATTATCTCCATACAGTTCTCTGGTTCCACATGATTTCTTCATCTTCTTGTTTGTGCACAAAAGCGTCGTTTAGGAATTTATCCTCCAAGGTCTTTACTTCATACTTTCTTCTAGAGTTGTTTAGAGCCGGTGAAAATATTTTCAGCTTTTCAGTAAAGCCGTAAGTTCTTCAGTTTCCAGTGGATTGAATTTATTCATCTTTTTTGTCAGACCATAATAGATCATTTCTTAATGTAAATGGTTTTCCCCGGGATACATAAGATTTGTTTACTTCTTTGTATAAATCCCACTAGAGTTCTAGGTTCGATGTACCAATCTACTGGGAAAGATACTTTAATAAGTGCCTATATATGTTTGGTTTGGCTGGCAAAGACGAACTGCTGACACCAATCAGGAAAGGGAGGAATAATATCCTTTGATACTTTTTCAGAGTTGTGACATGATATGATGTTCTGTGACACCCACAAGGTGAATGAACTTGAGGCATAATAACTATGACGCTGAACTCGGATCGCACCTTGTTACTTATCTAACATGCGTCACTAGATGAAATGTGATCCCTATGTCTACCGAGTATTTTTATGATGAATTTTCTGACAACTCAGACCTTAAATTCATCCATTGTAATGGTGATCGCTGAATTTGGGTGTCTGTCATTAGAAAACCATTTATTAGGATTATATGGAAAAAATAAGTCCCCTTCATAATGAATTTGTAAATCAAGCTATTCTGTAGCTTCTGTCTGTTGCAATTCAAGTGGCACTTATTTTTCATGCGTATTCTACCCTCTTAACATAGGTCAATATTAATATTAAAGGGAATAATGTTACAGATAAAGAGGAGTGCTTCTGATATACGCTTCGTAGATTTTTAGCATCCATGAAATAACAATCGACCTCGTTTTAATTACTATGCGTTTACAAGATGATCTTATAGTGAAATGTTCAATGATAGTCGAGCTGTTCATCTGCCTCGTCAAGGCTGTGGCTAGCTAAGCTATCTGCTTATAGTGTAACACTTGCTATAAGCAGTCAAAAAAGCGAAGACCTGAAACAATAACACGCAATGTTAATCGAGAACTTTGCATCAAGAGAGAACACGGAGTGGAAGCCACGAGTCTTTTATTTTCAAAAATTGAAATTCGCGGGGTATGTACAGAAAGGCTAGTATACAAAATAGTCTTATGAATCATCTTTGAAGTTCAGTGTATTCAGGGCTTGCTCTTTTTCTTCCAAAGAGTTTAGCCTTTGTCGCCCTGCAATAGAAAGAAAACGGAATCTGTTAACAACATCATACATGGTGATTTCAACTCCGTTACATTAGTTTCGAGGCAGGGACACTAGCACTTTAGCTCATTTTTGCACTACTTTCTTTATTTGTACGTTCTGCACTGTCAAAAGTTGAAACTAATTCTGAATAAATATACAAAAGTCTTATCACCTTATGTACTGCTTTCAGGCAGGTCTCAGAATTGTCCCGACTGGTAAATAGTCGCAATGACATAATGTGCGATGGTGTACACGAATACTTATAATCCCTGAAGTTCTTATCACCCCAACAGCATGGTTTCAAAAAGGGTCATTCTTGTATGACTAACCTGCTGACTGCGGTGGACATATGGACAAGTATACTTGATTGCAAGGGGAAGGTTGACGTCATTCGCCTTGATTTCTCAAAAGCTTTTGATAGGGTCAACAACGTATGTCTTATCAATAAGCTTAGATGATTGGGTATCAAACCTCCTCTGATCGACTGGCTCACTTCATACCTAGAAAACCGACATTTTAAGGTCAGGGTTAACTTCACTCTCTCTCAGGCTATGGAATGTCCTAGTGGGGTCCCCCAGGGTTCAATACAAGGGCCTCTTCTCTTCTTGATTTACATTAACGATCTTCATCAACAAGTTTCATCTGACTTATTGCTTTTTGTTGATGATGTGAAACTTTGGAGGAAGAGATACGTAACCATAAGGATATATTAGTACTTCAGGAGGATCTGACTCGACTTCAAAGTTGGGCAGACGACAACGGACTTACCTTCAACACTTCAAATTGTAAAGTAGCCTACCTACGACATGTTGCAGACTATAGTTACAACTTGGGCAACTACTCTGTATAAGTATCTCAAGTCGAAATTGATTTAGGAGTGTTGGTACCCTACGACTTGAAGTCGTACGCTAACTGTGACAAAAACGCCTTCCAAGCAAACCTTGGACTGGTAACATTGAAGATGATTTTTGGCCAGTTTGATGGTAGAACTTTCCGCATAATCTTCAACAGTTTTATTCATCCTCATATAGAGTACGGAAACATAGTATTTCCTCCCTCACTCCAAAAGGATAAGGACACTCTGAAACGTATCCAACGTCGAGCCACGAAATTAGTTCGGGGACTCAAATTCAAACCTTATGAAGAGCGCCTCCAATCACTTATCCTTTACCCGTTAGAGTACAGGCGTCTTAGAGGTGACATTCTTATGACTTACAGTATCCTTACCACTTCTGGTCATCCCCTTAAACATCTACTTAAGCTCAGTCACAATACTAACGTAAGGGATAACACCCAGAAACTGAAGACCCAACACAGCAGAACTGACTGTAGACACAACTTCTACTCCGTAAGAGTTGTCAGATGCTTGAACTCGCTGCCGACTGAGCTAGTCCAAGCGACTTCCCAGGAGTCCTTTAGGAGGAAACTTGACCTATTCTTAAGGACTAAGGATAACATCTTATTATGATTTATCAATTTCTTTTTTTCTTATTGTCGTGAATATACCTAGATTATTGCCTGGAGGTATTGGTGATCCACTGCTACTAGACACGGAAGCCCGTTAAGCGAAAACTTCTTCTATTCCGTTCACAACCATTTGAACCATTTTGAATCATTAAAGATTCGCTCTGTATCGTGCATCACTATGATGGCATCACTTTCGCTACTTGAAGGATTGAGCTTATCAGACAATGTGGCTGGACCCAAACAACCTTAATAATGATCTTATACCGCTTCTGCATGACCTCACAAATTGTCGGTGACCCACCAATTGTTTTGCGGCAGTTTGACCTTCGTGCGCTCAGTAACCTTCATCAGTGAACTTTGCCAATGGATCGTTTCCTAGTTTCTTTCCCAAAATAGTCTTAATATAAGGCTTGTGTTATAGCTGATTGTTGTCTATTACTTTTCGCAGTAAATGTAAGTGCACTGTGTGCGCTTGCCAAGTCTTCGACCCACCTTTTCGCTTGATCCGATTTACAGTCCTTACGCATAAGTGAAGTCACACGAAGTACCTTTTGACTATACGTGAACTCCTACAAAAGTCAGCAGTAGCACTGTATTGAAAAAGCAAGATCACCTGGTTACGTAATTACGTACTTGATCAATCAGTATCAAGCTAGGTAATCACATTTTTCAGATCTTAGATTGTGCGGCTTCGTCGTAATGTTAGAGTACAAACTTACACCAGAAAAAATTTATATATGGGAATTACCCAGAAGAAAATACACAAAATCTGAAAAACATGTTTCTTACGATTAATTGGGAATTATTTACAAATGACTCACTAGAAGACACCACCGATGTTATCATCTGTTATATTAAATTCTGTTTTGATATTTGATGTTCTACCGGAACCTTTTCAAGTTTTGATCGACTTACATCTCCACAACTAAAACGACTATGGAGGGTAAAAGAAAGGATGTACAAGGAGAAAAATACTATTGAAGTTCTTAAGTTAAATGGTCAAATAAACCTAGAGATTAGACGTCTCAACTCTGTGTTTACTCAGAAACTCCTATCTTGTAAAAAACTCTCCAAGTATGTGGAAACTCTTCAAGGAACTTACAGGGGACAGGCAGACTAGAAGCGACAACCAGCTGGATGTTTGTGACTTAAATAAGTCTTTTGTACGTCAGTCATCTGACATCATGCCCCCTATATTCACAGGTTTGAAGGATAATTGTGTTCCTAGTTTCACTGAAAATGATGTCCAAAAATGTCTCCAGTCACTTAATTCATCCCAATGTTTAGGACCTGATGGTATCCTAAACCTCCTTTTTTAAAAATGTGATGACGTTCTATGTTATCTATTCACGAATATCTTTAACAGATCCTTCTCAACTAATGTCTTACCGAAAATGTGGAGAAAGATAAGGATAATCCCTATACCAAAGAAAGTATCTGGTGATAAAAAGGTGAAACTTAGACCCATAGCAATAACTTCAACTTTCCTCAAAATAATGGAAAAATTACTGATACTCCCACTTCAACCTGCAATAAAAGAGCACTCTGATCCATATCAGTTTGCTTACAAATGCAAAAGAATCACATTAGATGCCATTGTTGTTCTGCATCACAATATAGTGTTCGGATTGGAAAAGAATAATAATTATGTTCGATGCACTTTCCTGGACTTCTGCTTTTGATTCTATTCCAAGACACCTCTTACTTAACAAACTGATCAGCGTCAACACTGACAGCTGGATAACCAATTGGCCATGTTCCTACCTTTCTGGAAGAGAACAGTACACTGTGTTTGAAGGAAAGTGCTCAACGTCTCTACTGTAGATGTGCCACAAAGAGCTGTTCTTTCACCTCTCCTTTTCTCTTGTTCTCTGCATGATCTATCTTCCACAGAAAATACTTTTGTGAAATAAGCGGACAGCCTCACTGTATGTATGCCAATATCTACCTCCTTACATCCCATAGAAATGAACGAGTTTTTATCTCGTATTGAATGGTGGTCTGTTGGTAATGGTCTCTTACTTAATCCATCTAAATGTCAAGCTGGTAACTTTAGCCTGAGACATGGACAGAACCTATACACTATTTTTGGATCCCATAATGCTTGTGCCATTGGAGACTTCTTGATAAACACAGTGTCGAAGGTCAAATATCTTCGTGTTACTTTTTCCTCTGATCTTTCTTGGTCTTCTCATGTTTTACTGTTATCGAAAAAAGTTTACCGTTTAACTTACTACATAAAGAGGCTGCATGCTTTTGGGATTACTCGCCATTTACTCTTACAATTTGTAAATTCCTGCATATTACCTATTATTCTTTACTGTTCTCCATTATTCTTTCCCGGGTTTTTGAGAAAAGACTTTGCTGTTTTGAGTAGAGTGCTGAATGCGGTTTGCAAGGTGTGTGGTGAATCTCTTGACGTTATTATTAATATGCTTGTGGATAGACATCTTAAGTCCTGCAAACTCCTAGCAGGTGTTATCTTATCAGATACTAACCATCCACTTCATTCATATATTTCTCCTTGTATATCTTCTGGTAGAACGAGACGTAAATACATTGAAATCCATGCACGCAAGCAAATCTATAAAAGTTCTGTAATACCTTACCTAGCAAATGTACTTTGTGACGAACAGGCTGTTAGAGTTGACCTAGTAAATAACCTGTATTCTTAAGCATGTCTCAAATTTGATAATTTGTACGAACTCAGATTTTTTTTAAACCTTTTTTTCTAAATTTCTTTTTCGTTTTTTTGGCAAAAAAACTTGTTGAAATAACTCATGCTGAGAATTCTATGTTGTACCAGATTATAATAAATAAAGCCATTAGTAGTAATAATAATAAAGACGACCGCCACTTTGTTACGGTTGACTGTATATAGAGTTAACTGTAACTATTATAGTGGATTGAGACTGATAGTTATGCTAGACAGTTGAGCTCACTACGTTCAATCTAGTCGCATTTAATTATGTCAGGGCTTATTGTTGTGAAGTTGAAGAATGCCAAATTTACAATTGGGTCAGAGTAATATGAATTCGTAGTTTCTCGTTAGCTTTTGATAACAATATTCTTCTTAATTTCTGCCTTGGCTTTACTCAAATTCATAGTTTCATTTACTTATTTATTTGAACACAAATATTGGTACAAGATATATATGCTCCCCACAAAAAATTGTCATTCCATCTTACTTTGTGAAAGCTATGACACTGTCCGGGTACCCAGACCGAAGCAGGTGATTTTCTTAGAGGGCCACACCCCGAGCCTTCGACCCAAAGGTCAGAACCACAAGGCAGTGGAACATCGTGAGGAGATGCAGTCCCATGGTAGCCGGTGTCCAACGATTGGTTCATACGCCATTTGTTCCTTTAGTATTCTGGAGCCTATGTGCACTACTGGTTTAGAATCAGGGTTTCCCAACTCCCTAGGTGGACTTTCCGTGTCCACTAACCCGGTGAAAGCACCGGACATTCGTTCTTGGTCCTCTCAATTTCGTAAACAACAGTAATGCCACGAGAAGGCAGTGAGTGGGACGTCTCTGGCAGAGGCTACATACGCGTGGCCATGTGAGAGCATTTCGAGAGGGAAGGTGGCTTCTCCCCACTCACGGCCGTACCAGAGTATTTGGGAGCCGAATTCATCAAGGGAAGCATTCGTATATAATTTCTGGAATCGCCTGCCTGTTCATCTTTTCAATCCACATGATTCTGTCTACACATTTTAATCCGGTCATTTGTTAAAAGAGCTCTGGGCATCTGTGAAAAATGTAAAGACATTTAAAATGGTCCTGAGCTGCATTCACGTATGCTTTGGGATCGCTTGGTATTGCACCACCATTACTAGCAAATTCATTATCTCAAGGATTCTTCCTCGACACCCATGTTTAAAAACAACAATATAGACAATAAACCTTTCGCTCACAGCGTGGAATTCGACAATTTTCGTACGAAAAAACATGAAAATGTGGGATTAATGCACGTGATTAGTGAAATACTTGGATGGATCGAACAGATGTGAACAAATTGTTGTGACAAATAGGCCTTTATACTAAGTCGTATTTTTTTCATCTTAGTTTCTAATTTAGCTAGGGGAAGAGCATCCATAAATTCATGCTGATTAGTATTCTCTTGTCCACCGCAGGTTGATGGAGATTCGTTTTTTAATGAACGATAAATGCATTCTGTAAGTAAAAATGCCACTAGGTTAGTTCTCATACTGGTTAATTCTCCAGTTATGTCTTTGGTTGCTGTTTTATCGTTTCTGTTTGAGGCCATCATTATGGTGATGCAATGGTTTAAAAGTAATATGCGTTCATTAAGATTATATCCGTTGAAGTTCGGTCTCATAAACCAGAAAACGAAGTTTACGTATGTCTTTTAGACGGGGATCAGGACTAAACCCGGGGCCCCAAGAGTTCTTTGGATGGAAACTTAGGTGTCAGAAATTCTATTTGGCCTAGTGAAACAGATAAGCTAAGAACTAAAGTTTGATTCTTGGATTTATCGCAAGTATCGATATAGATTTATGACAAAGTCCTCAAAGTGAGTTACTGTACAGTTTAGTCTATCTTCGAAGGGCATAATTATTGGGTCGCTTTTTTAATCTACAGTGATCTTATTTGTGGTGTGATCAGGGAAAAGTGAAAAGTATTGAGTGCTAGTGAAACATAACACCAGATCACTTTTCAATTATTTTCAACAGTGTGGCTGAAGGTAAGTTGGTGAAGTGACACGGAGACTTAGTCAACATTAAAGCTCAGTATTTTTTTAAGATTTTTTTTACTTGACACTTTTGCATCTACATACTTGTTCCTCAGAGCCTATTTCGTAGAACCGTCACCTTATCATATGTGTTCACTTTTGTTTTTAATTTCAGGTGCAAAGAACAATCATCAATACTCATGGACTTTTGTCAGAAATCTGTATTTCACAAACTAAAGTCTTGTAGGTTTTTTGTTTTTCGGAAAATAAAATATGAAAATGTTCCACTCGATTGTTTTCTTCACATTGCTTATGATTTTCGAATTTCATGTTGTTTTTGACATGGGCTTATCTTGGGAGTCTCATCAGCCCTTGTGGTCTGGTGTGTGACGAAATCTCAGCACGGATACAGAAAGCCCGTCTAGCTTTTGCCAACTTGCGTCATTTATGGCGTAATCGAGATATCCTTCTAGCAACCAAAGGACGGGTTTACCGTGCAGCAGTTCGTTCCGTCCTACTTTATGGCAGTAAGACATTGCTGATAAGAGTAGAGGATATTCGTTGGCTACTAGTATTCGATCATAGGTGTCTTCGAAGCATTGCTCGTATATCCTGGGACCACAGAGTAAGTAATGCAGTTGTTACGAAACGCGTAGTAGGCAAGGATGGCAAATCGATTAATGGAGTAGTTAAACTTCATCAATTGAGTTGGCTGGGACACATGTTACGTATGCCGAACCACCGACTGCCCCGACGTGCAATGTTTTATGGTGTAGGAGTAGGTTGAAAGAAAGCTAGAGGCGACCAGAACAAAACGTGGCACAAATCCATGAAGTCACTGGCAAGTGAACTGAGCCATGTTGGTAGGTGTAGACTACTTGGTTGAGATTCGCGAGATGATAGCAATCGATGGTTAGAGACCTTGAATGACATGGCTCAAAACCGTTTGCAATGGCGAAGGTTCATCCACTGTTTGTGTTCTCCCGAATTCTAATCTTCTGAATTCTTCATGTCCTTTTTCTGTTTTTTTATTTTAAAAATTTACGTCACTGGATTATACTCCTAACCTTTCGGATTACTGCTTATACTCTTACTACTTCTACCACTATGGAATTTGAATCGACAACTGCATCTCTGTGCTAATGTGGTATAACAACTCGAACTGATGTACGTACGTACTGACTGACTGACATGGGCTTTACACCATCTAAGCAAAATATGTTTTATTTAGATATATATCACGGTGTATCCATCAACTCAAACACTAACAAATTTCAGAATTTGACTGGTAACTTCAAAGTCATGATTTTGAATGCCACCCTATCTACTTCAGTTTGCAAAATCCACAGTTATTACTCGATTATATATCCCATTTCAATCGCACAATTCTTAATTAAAATACTACATTGACAAATAACTTTTGAATCGAGTTTTAAAACCCATATTGAAAATATTGCGTCTAATTTTTATTCATTATACATATGTTAAAGCACTGCTTTCCACTAAATATGCTTGATATAATAACTGGAGTTAGCCTCTAGAAATCTTAATAGTAAAATCTGGTTGTTATGATCTGTAGCCTTATTTTAATAGATATAACTTTAAAAAATAATGATAAGTTTCAGTATGACTTTAAAATAATAGTGTTGTTTCAAATCACTAGTCATATACACTACAACCTAATTGAGAAGAATATTCTACTAGAACAAGTTAGAAACGGAACACGATGATACGTAGGGTTAGTGATTAAAAAAAGTAATCTTGCTAGTCTCCTTTATTCCAAACTTCTCTTACTAGTCCAGGAATTTCCATCGATTGAACCAAACGGTTCTGGTTTGTAGCACTGTTAAAGCATTACAGCTACACCAAAACGTTTTTGTATATCTAGAAGTATCATTAATTGAGGTTCGAGCTAGTTTAATGCATACCATATATCATATTTGGTCCATTTATGTATCAATAAACTATATATACTTTTCTGGTTCCAAAATCTTTAATTCTATGTTATCGTAATATGTGCTCCCAAATGCCCTGATACGGCCGAGAGTGGGGAGAGTCCACTCTCCCTCTCAAAATACTCTCATATGGCCACGCGTATATAGCCTCTGCCAGAGAAGTCCTACTCACTGCCTTTTCTTGGCGAGGGTGTTGTTTACGAAATTGAGAAGATGAAAAGCGAATGTCCGGCGCTTTAACCGGGTTGGTGGACACGGCGAGTCCACCTAGGGGAGTTGGAAAACCCTGATTCTAAACCAGTAGTGCACATAGGCTCCAGTATCGTAAAGGAAAAAATGGCGTACAAACCAATTGTTGGTCACCGGCTACCATGGGATTGCAACTCCTCACGATGCATCTCCTAAGAAAACCACCTGCTTCGGTTTGGGCACCCGGGCAGTATCACAGCCCTCACACAAATCAAGTGAGATTTGTGTGGCGCATATGTATTTGGTGCCCCTTTGTACTAATATTTATGTGTTCAAATAAATAATAATAAAATAATCGTAATATGTGGTCAGAGCTCTGAAAATGATGATCAAATGCCTGCCATCTTTATATTTTACCCAACATCATCTTTCTCATGGGAAGTATATTACTCCCATGATAGATCTGTTTATGGATTATTGGTGGTATATTGGTCGTAATGTGGAGATTGACAGCCCAGCTTATTTTACCGGTGTGAATTTGCTGTACATTAGCTTGTCAGGACTAATGCAACTGTCCAGATAAAAGATTCTTTATACATCGACGGTCTTATCGAACTCAGTTTCTTGTGATTGAAGTTGATTTATCAAGGGTCACTAAACATATATTTCCTTCTGGTATTGTATTTTGTGGATATTTCAGTTCATATACACCAACCGGAGGGAATATCAAGGTGCGTATTAGTTGCACTAGTATCAACTTATTCTATCTAACATAATAATATTTAAGGCCACATATTTTAGCTCACACGTTCTGATCAATCAGGATTGTCTTTTTCCTCTTATGGCTGGCATCTTGAAGGTTTGTCTAACAATTTTTTATTAACCTAGCTATTATCAACTGTATAATTTCTAATTTATTATTCCTTAGCGCTTTAATATTGAAACTGCCTTTCACTTTGATTCTGACAAAAATCTAGCTGGATGGGACTACATCAAATGGTATGCAGATTCTGCAAAATTAGTTCCTGGTTGTACAAATCCTTTGATATTAGCAGCAAAACAATGTTCAAACGTGGACGTAGTCAAATTAAAAGTAGCTGTTGTTCTAATGATACCTTTGATAGATTTTTCCAAAAAAAACTTCGACATCTTAAGTTTACACAGTATGATAGAAACTGTTGAACAAAATCGTGTTGGTTTTTTGGAGGAAGTTTTTCATGAGTACAAATCGTCTCCGAATTTTGATATCTATGATTCTAAAACGACCTCGTTCAGGTAAGATAATGATTTTTTTTAGCAACTTATGGCTCTTTAAATTTAGTTGGAGATCTGTCTATTTTCTATTTATTTATTTATCTATTTGAACACATAAAAATTGGTGCAAGGGGGCACCAGATACATATGCGCCACACAATAACAATGAGAATGGGAAGAGATAAAGAGTGTAAAGTGCGTATAGAAGAAAAAAGAACAATGGCGACCACAAATTGGTGTATGGTAGTGGAAAAATATTAGTAAAGAGAGAAACAAAAGGGTACAACCGGAAAGAATTCTTTCAGTTAGGGAAGTTACAACCACCTTTTATGAAGAAAGTAAGGGAAACTTACAGCCGGAGTTCGCCACTGGCTTCTATACTGAGCCATGTCTGATAACGTCTCAAGCCATTGTGTTGCATCATCTCTTGGACCCCAATCAGGGAGTCATAAAGGACCAACAGAAGCCAGTCCTGTGCAGCTTTCTTTCATACCACGACACCATATCAAACACTGACCATCTCTCTACTTTTTCAACCAGTCCCAGCGTCGGCAAATAATTCACGATGACGAATTCCTTGGGACAACATTCGTAGAACATGTCCAAGTCGCCGTAGTCGGTGTTTTTACGGTAATGACATCAGTTGAATCATCGTCGCTGTGCTCTAACAAACAATGCCGAACTTCTGCATTACTAACATGGTGTTGCCACTGTATGTCAGCAATCCTTCGGAGACAACAATGATCAAACACAGACAGGCGTCTAACATCCTCAACTCAGATAGGTCAGGTTTCACAAACAACAAAATTGCGCTCATTGACGCGTTTTAGATCCGACGTTTTATAGCCAGGCTGACATCACGAAAGCTCTAAAGATAACCTAAATTGTAATAAACCGTTCTGGCTTTCACTATATGTGAATTAATCTCAACACTCACGCCACCACCAGCAGCTACCCAGATACACGAACTTCTCGAATACTTCTATCTACTCATTACCCAGGGTGAGTGCAGGATCAGAGTCCTGTCAGTCTTGTAAAAGTACTTTACACTTGGAATGTACAAAACACATACTATACCTACGGACACTGATTGCCACCTGATTAAGTGTGGATTGCATGGCTTGGGTATCATCGCACAGTAAGACAATATCATCCGCATACTCAAGGTCGACAAGTCTTTCTCCCGGCAAAAGACATCATTACTTACATCCATCAGAGCTGTTTCCAGAATGTTGTAGACGGCAAAGTTGAAGAGAAATGGTGAGATTGGACAACCTGCCTAACCCCACTATTGGTGTGGGACAACAAAGTGAAGTGGTTGTATGTCGTCATTCTGTGTGAGGTGTTTTTACATAGGACTTTTAGGATGTTGATAAACTTTTCAAGTACATCCTTCTTCAATAGACAGTTCCAGAGAACAGTTCTGTCCAACCAATCGAAGGCAGCCCTGATGTCAAGATACGCTACGATTGTTGGCCCGTGATCAGTAAGACGGTGTTCTAACATTTGGCGGAGGGTAAAGATATAACCAATACATTCTCAACCAGGATGAAAATCAGCCAGCTCCTTTCGAGTTTATCTTTCTTATGTTTTAAACAATCTAAGATGTATGGCAGGAGCCAATAGTTTGGACGCAATCGGAAGTAGACTTATCCCACAGGAACGACGTGAACCCTTTTTGAAGATAGGGACAACTATCGACTCGTTCCATGATGTTGGAACACACTCTAGCTCCTAAACCTTTGTAAACAGTGTTGTAAGTTCCTTAACCAGAAATCACCACCATCTTTAAAATAGTCGGAGGCAGGTCATCTGGGCCCGGTGATTTGTAGCATTTCAAGAGTTGAAGTTCCTTGCGGACATCCGCCTCATTTGGTTGATCAGTCGTCACAGGCCACGGAAGGCAGGGCAGTCTGATCGATGTTGTCGGAGCAGCCGGCCAGTTGAACTGCCCTTCAAAGAATTCCGCCTATCGTCCAAGACGTCGATGGATGTTAGTGATTGGCATCCCATCACCTTGGCAGATTGTTTTATTCATACCAGACTTCTTGCTGCCAGTGGCTCGGATGAGTTGAAAGAGCTTCCTGCAATTACCAGATGCTGCTTTTTGTTATAACGTATGCCCTCTTAATACATAAACGTTCAATGATACATAAAATACGTACGAGCAGTCTTGGGTGCTATTCGGTCCTTCCTATCTGCCTAGCCCAGCCCGTTAAGTCCAGAACACAAATAACAGCCTCAGCAGTATGAATCATTATTTACAAGCATACTGGGTTATATATACTAACCAAACAGACCACATATATCAAAAATAGAAAAATAACATTTGTACAGTAATTGGCCAATGTGGCTGTAGCTTACTTACTTACTTACGCCTGTTACCCCTCGTCGAGGAGCATAGGCCGCTCACCAGCATTCTCCATCCAACTCTGTCCTGAGCCTTCCTTTCCAGTTCTTTCCAGTTGCTATTCATCCTTTTCATATAGGCTTCTATTTCCCGGCGTAGTGTGTTCTTTGGCCTTCCTCTTTTCCGCTTCCCTTCCGGATTCCAAGTTAGGGATTGAGTCGTGATGCACATTGGTGATTTCCTTAATGTATGTCCGATCCACTTCCAACGACTTTTCCTTATTTCCTCTTCAGCTGGAAGCTGGTTTGTCCTCTCCCATAAAACGCTGTTGCTGATAGTATCCGGCCAATGGATGTTGAGTATTTTGCGTAGACAACTGTTTATAAATACTTGTACCTTCCTGATGATGACCGTAGTAGTTCTCCACGTTTCAGCTCCATACAGTAGGACTGTCTTGACGTTCGTATTAAAGATTCTGACCTTGAAATTGGTTGAGAGTTGTTTTGAGTTCCATATGTTCTGCAATTGTAGAAATGCTGCCCTTGCTTTGCCAATCCTTGCCTTTACATCTGCATCCGATCCTCCTTGTTTGTCAACGATGCTCCCCAGGTACTTGAATGTTTCCACCTCTTCCAGAGTTTCGCCATCAAGTGTGATTGGGTCGATGTTCTCCGTGTTGCATTTGAGAATCTTGCTTTTTCCTTTGTGAATGTGGAGGCCTATCGATGCGGAGGCTGCTGCTACATTTGCTGTCTTCATCTGCATTTGGTCGTGTGTATGAGAGAGGAGGGCTAGGTCATCTGCGAAGTCCAAATCATCTAATTGATTCTGAGAAGTCCATTGTATTCCGTATTTCCCTTCAGATGTCGAATTCTTCATAATCCAGTCAATCACTAGAAGGAAGAGGAATGGGGAGAGTAGACAGCCTTGTCTGACTCCGGTCCTTACTGGAAATGCATCTGTCAGCTGTCCTCCATGCACCACTTTGCACTGTAATCCATCGTATGAGTTTTGGATAATGTTGACGATCTTCTGAGGAACTCCATAGTGTCGAAGAAGTTTCCACAATGTTCTCCTATCCACGCTGTCAAACGCCTTCTCATAGTCAATAAAGTTGACGTATAGTGATGAGTTCCACTCAACTGATTGTTCAACGATGATCCGTAGTGTCGCAATCTGGTCTGTGCACGACCGATCCTTACGGAATCCAGCCTGATGATCCCTAAGTTCGGCGTCTACTGCGTCTTTCATCCGATTCAGCAGCACTCTGTTGAAAACTTTTCCTGGTACTGATAACAAACTGATGCCTCTGTAGTTCTCACATTGGCTCAGATCTCCTTTCTTTGGTATCTTGATGAGATATCCTTCTTTCCAGTCCATTGGCACTTGTTCCTCTTCCCAAATCTTTTTGAATAGAAGGTGAAGCATGTTTGCAGTTATTTCAATGTCTGACTTCAGTGCTTCTGCTGGTATATTGTCAGGTCCTGCCGCCTTCGCACTTTTGATTTGTCTGATGGCCATCTTGACTTCTTCGATCGTTGGTGGAGTGACATCTATTGGAAGGTCAGTGTGGGCTGCTTCGATGTTCGGTGGATTCGATGGGGCTGGTCTATTCAGCAGTTCCTCAAAGTATTCTGCCCATCTTTTCCTCTGTTCCTGAATCTCAGTGATTGTCTTTCCTTCTTTGTCTTTGACTGGTCTCTCTGGTTTGCTATATCTCCCTGCCAATTTCTTCGTTGTATCATATAGTTGTTTCATATTCCCTTCTCTTGCAGCTTTTTCCGCCGCCGTTGCTAGTTCTCCCATGTATTTCTGCTTGTCGGCTTTAATGCTTTTCTTCACTTCTCTGTTTGCTTCTGCGTAGTCTGCTTGTGCTTTGACTTTCTCTGCTCGTGTTCGGCTGTTGTTAATTGCTAGTCTCTTGTTCTTCCTTTCTTGAAGTTTGTCCAGGGTCCCCATAGAGATCCATTCCTTGTGATGGTGCTTCTTAGGACCAAGAACCTCCTGACACGTTGAAGTTAGTGCTTCTTTTATCCCTTTCCAGTTGTCCTCCAAAGTAGTTTCTTGTTCTTTCAGTAGATCCTGTAGAGCTTGGAACCTGTTGTTGAGAGTTATCTTGAATTCATGGAGTTTGTCAGTATTTCGAAGGAAGGCTGTATTAAACCTTTGTAGTGCTGTTTGTCCAGTTGTCCAGTCTTTCTTTAGCTTCAGTCTCATCTTGGCCACAACCAGGTGGTGATCTGAAGCTATGTCAGCTCCTCTCCGGGTTCTCACATCTTCCATTGATCTTCGGAATTTTTTGTTGATACAGATGTGATCAATCTGGTTCTCTGTGGTGTGGTCCGGTGAGATCCATGTAGCTGTGTGTATGCGTTTGTGTGGGAATATTGTGCCGCCTATAACCAATTTGTTGAAAGCACATAGGTTTGCAAGTCTCTCCCCATTTTCATTTCTCTCTCCTAGTCCATGTCGTCCAATTACATCTTCATATCCTGTGTTGTCCACTCCAACTTTAGCATTTAGATCTCCCATAAGGATGGTGAGGTCCTTTCGTGAGCACTTTGCTATAATTGATTGCAGCCTTTCATAGAACTGATCTTTATCATCGTCGTTGCTATCATTGGTGGGTGCATAACATTGGATAACGTTCATTGTGATCCCCTCCTTCTTTGTTCTGAATGATGCTTTGATTATCCTGGGTCCATGAGATTCCCATCCCACAAGTGCATTTCGTGCTTCTCTGGACAGCATTAGAGCAACTCCCTGAGTGTGTGGCGCATTTTCCCCTTCGTGACCGGAGTACAGCAGCATCTCTCCTGTACCTAGCCTTTGTTGTCCAGTTTGTGTCCAATGGGTTTCGCTGATTCCGAGTACTGCCAAGTTGTATCTCCTCATTTCCATTGCTATTTGGCTGGTCTTTCCTGTCTCCCACATTGTCCGGACGTTCCATGTACCTATAAAGAGTGTTGCTCTGGTTGTTAGAAGGTGCATCGGTCTCGTGACTTCCGAAGAATTTCGGCTTTCATCATGAGACGTCATTATTCCTTCAACTCCCAGGGCAGAGTTTAAATGGTTTGGATTATTTTTTCTGGTTAGCGTTTTTTTAGCGAGTTAGCTTTTCTACGGGATGGGGTCGCTAACCCCATGCCCAACCCTCCTCCTTTACCCGGGCTTGGGACCGGCAGTAACTCTAGAAGAGCTACAGGCGGAGTTGTGGCTGTAGCTAGGGGGGAAGTAATCAATAATAATAGTTCCAAGGTCAAAATAAAGATTATGATAAGAGGAACACGGAAACGATTAGGTCACTTATTTAACAACTATCCAATAGGAATATAAATGGATTAATAGTCTAATAAGAGGTCCCGTAAGTTATCAGTACTTACTTTTTCCTAGTATATAACACTTTTAACTCATTAGCACGCTCCGACCACCTGACTTCTTGGTCCTTACACAAGCTTTACCCAATTTCACTACATGACCGTCGTCGTTTATGGCCAAACTTATGGTCACCCGGAGTAGACCTATGGGTCTCGATGAGTTGTAAGGAACTTGGAAAAACTGGAGAAAGTGGGACGTTTCACGAAGCCACAAGCGACTTTACTCACGTATACTTTTCGGTTGGGTGGTAGCTAGCCTAGAACCTAGCTCGGTTTGAGATGCAGAAGAAGGACGTCAGGTGGCACATCGGCGATGACTGCGCTGGTAGTTAGTGCTAGCCAGAAACAGGTTGCGGTTTGCGCACAGTTGCAGTAGACGGTTCCCGTTATCTGACCTGCAACCAACAAGTCCCCATCGGCCAACTAAACGACTCTCTTCTGTGCATAGACGCCCGACCTGTGCATTCGAGTCTCCGGATAGTACTACAATATCTGTTGGACGCAATTTCTGAAGAGGAACGGTTAGCTGGTGGTAAAATTCATCCTTGATCGCACCCGGGCTACAATCTGTCGGGGCATATTCGGAGATGACAAAAAGACATCGTTTCTCACGTCGATTTCTTCTCACTTTGATGGAGCTTTCTAATCTAATAGCACATAACCGACTGTTAATGGGGACCCAATCGATTAGTGCTGCCTCAGCTTTAGTGCTTATTGCGACACCGACGTCAGCAAGACCAGATGAAGATGCCAAAGGGTCCCCGGATAAACGCACGTGGAACAAGCTTTGGGAAGCGACAGATGGAGAGCGAATTTGTAGTACTTCACTAGAGTCTTGAATACGGGTCTCGGTTAGACAACGAACGTCGACATTAAGACTTTCTAAAGATATAGCCCACCCCATCTGTTGTCCGATCTGCATTATTATTATTATTATTATTATTATTATTATTATTATTATTATTATTATTATTAATGGCTTTATTCAATATTATAATCTGGTACAATATAGAATTCTCACCACGAACGTTGAAGAAAGCCAGTTTTAAACGGCGTACGTGTTTTCAGAAAGACTGGTTCAGTATTCGTATTCGGTGGAAGCATTGACTTCTGACCAGACAGTGACTGGAGATCGTTTAGATAGAACAGAGTTTCCACCATGGGCGAGCTGCTGTTTAAGTTGAAAAATGGAAGTACATGAAGTGGGAATAGAGAAAGATAAGTAACGTATTACATGAAAAATGATAATGATAGTAAGGAGATGCAGTCCCATGGTAGCCGGTGTCCAACGATTGATTCACATGCCATTTGTTCCTTTAGGATTCTGGAGTCCATGTGCACCATTGGTTTAGAATAAGGGTTTCCCAACCCCCTAGGTGGACTTTCCGTGTCCACCGACCCGGTGAAAGCACCGGACATTCGTTCTTGGTCCTCTCAATTTCGTAAACAACAGTAATGCCACGAGAAGGCAGTGAGTGGGACGTCTCTGGCAGAGGCTATATACGCGTGGCCATATGAGAGCATTCCTAGAGGGAGAGTGGACTCTCCCCACTTACGATCGTACTAGGTCTTTTGGGGGCACTGTAGAGTTGTTTCTCTGTACAACTAGTATTATGATATGATATCAAAAGCTGGTTCATTTGGATTTTTGAGCTTCAGCATTATATACCGGTGAATAATGCTAAAATGGAGGATATCAAGAGCGGTCATATGAATAAACAACAAAGATCGAGTAGCCTATTTAATAATAGAAAACTAGGGAACTCAATTTTTAACACAGCATTGAACATCCTGTATAATATTATATTATAACAAACACGTCTAATCAAATTTCACTACTTTTTTCAAAACTATCCCGAATAAAATAATGGGGTAAGGTGTTAGTAGAACTTATAACTACTAAATGTTTGTATTCCTATTTACACCATTATTTTGCCAGAAGATTATACTTCAAAAATATTGATGTTGAACTTTACTTATTTCATACTCACTATTAATCTGTCCTAGTTAGTATCAAGTTTATTGTAATTTGGTAAATTTAACTTCTTTAACAGGTACAGATTTTTACACTCGGCTTTAAGTCACTTTACTTAAAAACTAACGATGCAACACAGCCCCTAAATCGAAGAACATAAAGCAAAACTGTGACCAAATAGTTGAAAGTTAAGTGCTGAAACTAGTAGAACATCACATCCTAACATTCTCGTTATATGCCAATTTCTAATATAATCAGACGAACAAATTGTATGTTCATATATCCAGATTGTACCCGTTTCTCCATTATGACGTGTACACGATTTATCCTAGCTTCTCAGTGAAATTGTTATTCCAATCTTTTCAGTTATTCTGAATACTCATATTTAATCTTATCAAATATTCACGTGCTAACCCTGAGCGTTCCTTCTACAAACTTGTCTGTGTATGTATGTCCAACTTTTTCTGTTACCTGGTTTGTTGCCTGTCTAGTGGCTGAACTTGATATATACAATGAATCACCTTAAATAGGATGATTTGGCTACTTGCCAGCTTTACGCTACTTTTGTTCTTCCTTCGCTTAAATAACTGTCTGTTTACAACTGAATGTGTGAAATAAACTTATCTTCATTACATCTCTTGTTTCATTTTCTTGATTTAACGTTCTAACGTTATGTGCCGATGGTCTGTTACGAAACTAAGTATGGAATACGTGAAAGCTAAACTGAAGTTAGACACGGGTACGAAAAGATAGTCATCCAGCAGTTTAATGACCGACACACTATTTGTAAAATCTATCTGGCTTTCCGAAGTAAAAATATGACTTAAAATGATTCGAAAACATGTATACTGACTTAATATCCCGTCTTATCCATTTCTGTTGCATTTGAAGTGTGAAATTAGGTTGTTATGAGAACGACGGAATGTTTATGCTAATTAATGCTGCCTCTGGTCTTTCATCTGATCTTAGTTGAAATCAGTGGACTAGGTAAGTATCTCATATATTATAAACTGTATGTTATATATTTATTTTCCATTTCTTCCTCACTGTCCAAAGTTAAATGTATTTAGGAATGTCAAACAAAATAGAATAAAATTGTTAATGTTGATATGACTCATATAGAAAGTGAACTTGAATATATATATATATATATATATATATATATATATATATATGCTGTATATAAAGTGAAAATTTAAGATCCGTGATCCGAGTAAATAAGAGTCAGTTAGGGTGAGAGAAATATTATAGTGCAATTACGATTCGATCAAATGTTTAATGGAAGACTAAATTGTGTGAAAAATTAGTAAGACGTAATAAGGAGGGATGAATGCGAAGTGAATCCATTATGTATAGGGGAGATTAATAATGATGCTTAACCAATAATGTCAACATTTGGAGAAAATCACGGGATACAGTGGAGAGGCAGGATGCAGCTTGACGATTTAGACTTCGCAGATGATCTGGCTCTTCTATTACAAACGCAACAACAAATGCAGGAGAAAACGACCAGTGTAGCAGCAGCCTCAGCAGCAGTAGATCTCAATATAAACAAAGGGAAAAGCTAGACTCTCCGATACAATACAATATACACCAATCAAATTACAATTGACGGAGAAGCTTTGGAGGATGTGGAAGCCTTTACATATCTGGGCAGCATCATTGATGAACACGGTGGATCAGATGCAGATGTGAGGGCGCGGATCGGCAAAGCAAGAGCAGCATATTTACAATTGAAAAACATCTGGAACTCAAAACAATTGTCAACCAAGATCAGAATTTTTAATACAAATGTGAAGACAGTTCTACTATATGGGGCGGAGACGTGGAGAACTACGAAAGCCATCATCTAGAAGATACAAGTGTTTATTAACAGTTGTCTACGCAAGATACTTCGGATCCGATGGCCAGACACTATCAGCAACAAGTTACTGTATGACACAACAAACCAGATTCCAGCAGAGGAAGAAATCAGGAGGAAGCGCTGGAAGTGGATTGGGCACAGTTTGAGGAAATCACCCGATTGCGTCACAAGACAAGCCCTCACATGGAATCCTGAAGGTCGAAGGAGAAGAGGAAGACCAAAGAACACATTACGCCGAGAAATAGAGATAGACATGAGAAGAATGAACAAGAACTGGATAGAACTAGAAAAGAAGGCCCATGATAGAGTGGGTTGGAGAAAGCTGGTCGGCGGCTTTGCTCCATTGGGAGTAACAGGCGTAAGTAAGTAAGTTAACCAATAATATTAATAACAATAGTTATCATTATAATCTATTTCATACTTAATTTTTAACTTTACTTTTTACAGTTGTAATTGTTTAGTCTCATTTGCAAAAGTGCAGACATTAATCGAATTTATCTATGATTGGGAAGGTACATCATATATTTATTGTTAATTCGCTTACATGTTGATTTTTATGTTGATGTATCATTGGTTGTTGTTCATGATTTAATATGAAAAAAATAGCGAAACCGAAAACACAATTTTCAGAATGTTTTTTTTTCTTTTGATTATTGTGCACACTTATAATGAAACGTTTTTACATAAAATTATTGTAATAGAATTATTCTTTTTGACGATTGTACATTATTGATTTTGCATTGTTTCTATTTGTGTATAAATCTACTTGTCTTTTATCTCCCTTTTTTATTTATTTATGATTTATTGTATACATTGATCAAACGGCTTTCAGTTCCTCGCTTTCATCTTTTTTTGTTTGTTTGACAACTATGTAAATAAGAATAAAAGTGTAAGTATTTGTAAAATAACATTATGAGATCACAACGTAATTTGTTAAGTCAGTGTTTTTTGATGACTGTAAAATTATCAATGATGATAATGCAAGGAGGGTAAAAATTTGAATTTTTGTTGTCTGCTCGAAATCTGCTTATTTACTTGTTGTTGTTTTTTTTACTTAGACAGTTGAGCCAATATGATGACTCTTTTCATTATAGATCAAAGACAGCTTTATCTAGCATACCACAAAATTAATAAAAAACAGTATTGTAAATAAATGTAAAGTACTGTCGTACGATATATTTTTTTCTACTTCGAAGTGCAGTAATGACACATTAATTACTTAAAAATTATGTGTTCACTAGGATGTAATATTTGAAGAAGATTTGGTCTAATGTAAGGGCTGTAATCAATAAATGCTCCATAAAAAGCTCAAAATAACGCAAATTTAGATGAAAATAATCGGTATGTGAAATTTTCGATTATATGGTGAAAATACGAAGAAAATCGTTGGAACTCACTAAACTACAGTGAAATGAGTTAAGCATTAATCATATTAACGTTGACCACTAGCTACGGCATTTTCAGTAAGTCATGCATGTCTCAATCTATCTCATCGGCATGTGTAAATGTATGCTTTTGATAATTCTAGCTCAAAGCTGTTAGTGAGAAAGCGATTTATTATAGAGTGTAAAGTAAGAAATTTTATTATTATCTAAGGAATGTTGCCAGTGGATTGTTAATACAATTAATATATACATAATTTATAGAGTTGAGATCATGAGTCAATTGAAGCTAGACCACCATGGAAAACCTGGAAGCACTGGACGGCCGTTATGGGACTCCTCAGTAGTGCGCATCCACGAACCCACTCTCGCGGGATTCGAACCCAGGACTGACTCCTTGAGGTATTTCCTGGAGTTCTAGTGAGAAGCAGTAACCGGTGGAGTTCAACCAGGTCTGTTGTGAGATATGAACTCACTGATGACATTGGTGAATGGTTGCTCAATTTCGTGAATCAGTTGAAGTTAGACATTAACACCGTTGGATGCCAGCTCAGTGGTCTATCGGTTAAGGGCTTCGGCTCGAAATTGGTAAGTCCTGGGTTCGAATCCCGCGAGAGTGGGTTCGTGGATGCGCACTGCTGAGGAGTCCCATAATAGGACGAAACGGCCGTCCAGTGCTTCCGGGTTTTCCATGGTGGTCTAGCTTCAATTGACTCATGATCTCAACTCTATAAATTACTAAAATCTTCACAAAACCCCTTCTGATATACTTAATTGACGAAATTTGCAGCGAAACTGAAATTTAATCCAGTTTTGTCTTCTCCTGTTCATTAGTAAACGAGAAATTTATTGTTATGAGTTCAATCTTCTATATGTTTGTTATATCCTAGATCAAGCCGAATGTGGCTGTGAACGTAATCAATAAACTGAATATAATTTAGGGACAGTAAATCGTATAGTAATAATAATAATCCATGGGTCAAAATGAAGCTTATAATAAGATGAATATAGATATACACAATCTAATTACTTAATAGTTAAACAATAAGAATATATATAGAATTAATAGGTTCCGGAATTTATCCGTTCTTATGTGTGTAATACAACAATTAGACAAATGGACACTTCACAACATTCACTTATGATAGTCGCCTTCACTATTAATAATTTTGCTTACTGCAGCCTTTGATATCTTAAATTCAAAGTATTAGTTATCGGTTAGTTTAAATCGTCTTATTAAAAACTAACGGTTATTTATTCTGATAAGGTGATTATTACAAAAAACTGCATATTAAGAAATGACCTCGATTGGACTGAGACTCACGTAACTTTTCACAATCTTCAAAAAAATGAAATTACTTATATAAATCCTATTTAACAATTTAGAAAGATAAAATTTAAATACAGACCGCTATATGCGAAATTCAAATATTTGAGTTACCATTACTTTCTTAAATGGTACAAATCTCTCTATTTTATCAGAGATTACTATTTGTAGAAATAGGTTATTCATAAATTGCCCCTGATTTTTCTTAAATTCTTATTCATTTACGAAGGTTTAAACTGTCATCAATTCAGTTATATTAGACTAAACGTCTAGCGTTCATCAAATGTATCAGTTACATTGGGTAACCATAATAAATTATCAATATTTTCAAACATCTAACAAACTAAATCCCTTAATTGGGTGACATGTTGCAATAATTTATCTTTGTGAGCTTTTAAAGTCAGTAGTTTTGAAATATAATAATTAAATATTTGTCTCTATTGATAATTAAAAAACTAATCTACATAACTGTAAAGATTGAGTCCCTTATGCACGCGATCATTATGGAAATTGATTTCACTTTGCATCTCTATTGTACGGCGCCTGATTAGAACAGATGTGGCTTTTCTTCCTTAAGTCATAATTTTGTACTATTAAACAATCGAAGCGTCTGATAGGATATTTTTATAACGAAAAGATTTAAATGTGAAGATGTTATTTCTGACATGCAATGGAAACCATTTATGCATTATGCAATTAAACGAATCAAGTTACAATAATACCTTGTTTACAGTCAATTAAACAACTAATACGGGAGACAACGGTGTACTCTAAATTACATGAGCACATATTATGATATACAGGTTACCCAATCATATTTTTAAATATGTATAGTTATTCCATTAAAATATTTTAAGAGTCGGAAATTTCAACAATTGTTATGTAAATATCAGCCTTAAGCCTCTTTTTTCTAAATAATCATCAGCATGTTTAGTTTGTAAACTTCTATATACTTGAATGTCATGTTTTGGTTAGTACATATACAGAGTTGTATCACTTCGTTTTTGTTCTGCTCCAAATATTGATTTTTCCCTACAACCCGTCATCTTCGTGTGGCGGTTGCATTTATGGCGTTACTCAATAGAACAGATCATATCATAGCCCGTTCTAAACCTTCAAATATCAGGATTCGACATAACAGTCAAACAAAAGGAGAGAATATTTTGCGACTTTCACAGCTAACTGATATCATCATGAAAATTAACTGAACACCATGAAGCAGTTGACAGCTGTTTCGTACTTTCTCGTGACCCCTCGGATATTTCCACCAACGTCACAACGAACAAAAGATATCTATTGTTTGCGATTATTACAATGCATCCCAACTACAGTCGTTTAGATTTCATAACGATTGATTTAGCGATAAAACATGGTTTTCATTCAATATGATCCTCAAGTTAATGTTACATTGAAGACTTTGCTGAGTCTGTATGTTCATAGTTGAAAGCGTGAGCCAATTGAAGCTAGACCACCAGAGAAAACCTGGAAGCACTGGACGACCGTTTCGTCCTATTGTGGGACTCCTCAGCAGTGCGCAACCACGACCCGGCCTCGCGAGATTCGAACTCAGGACCTACCGGTCTCGCTCCAGAGCATTTAACCGTGACCAATGGAGTTCAAACCACCTCTGTTGTGAGATAGAAACTCACTGAAGACAATTGGTGAACGGTTGCTCAACTTCGTGGATTGGTTGTAGTTAGACATGAACACCATCAGATGCCGGTTCAGTGGTTTATCGGTTAAGTGCTCTAGTGCGAGACTGGTAGATCCTGAGTTCGAATCTCACGAGGCGAGGTTGTGGATGCGCACTGTTGAGGAGTCCCACAATAGAACGAAACGGCCGTCCAGTGCTTCCAGGTTTTCGCTGGTGGTCTACCTTCAATTGACTCACGCTTTCAACTATGAAAACACTGAATCTCCATAAAAACCCCTTCTGACTCTGTATGTCACACTTCCCACCAGTAATTTAAGAGTCCCATCTTACTTTTCGACTATACTTCATATAAGTTCAAACAACTGATCGTACAAATCTGATGATTATTTCCGATACCTTTAACTAATAGTTGGCAGTACATCTAAACACCAGTTATGTTGTGTATGTACGGTATAGTACTGTTTTAAAAGTCGTTTACTGAAATCGCATAAATTTGAAACACTGTTAACTGATGTAAGGATGGAAGAGAAAGAAGAAAAGATTACTGGAACCCGTAGTAAGAAAAGTAGAGTAGTGTGAGTAACGCTGAGATTGTATGTCCAGTATTTATCTAGTTGAGGTAATTCAATCATAATCAGTGACCTTGTGAAAGATTAAACATAAGAGAATATGTTAACTTGATGGTGTTTACTCGTATCTTCCCATTGTTCTTTAGGACTGCAACTGACCAGTCTCTTGTTGGCATACGTGCATCCTGTGCGGACTGCCTCGATATTGCCTGAAGTCATAAGCTTTATGAGCAAAGATCGATAGTGGCTAGCAAAGGGATCCAGGACGCGCGTTTCCCCTATTCGGGACTCGTCAGCTGGATAACGCGATGACGTCTGAAGGGAGGGTACTGGGTTCGAGTCCCAGGGTGAACATCAACTTTGATGCAGGTACGTCCAGCTGACGAGTCCCAAGTAGGACGAAACGCGCGTCCTGGATTCCACTGCTAGCCACCATCCATCTCTACTTACCATAAAATGTAAGTTAGTCACTTTGCCAAATATTGGAAGTCAGTAAATGAAGACGTTCGTGTGGCTATTTGAGATTAATCACAATAACAAGAACCCCTTTCTAATTAACTGGTATAGTCGAAGGCACACTGACCTTATTGCTGAATATAGATGTTAGCGGGATATACATTAAGGGAGACGACACAAAAAGGTTCCTAAAACTAATATTGTAAGAATACTTTCAAAATCTATGATGACTCAAAGCCAGTCATACCTAGCGTAAGGTCTGCCACTTATGTGAATATGCTCAGTTTGCCACTACACATGACAGCCAAATACCAGAGTAGTATATATATTGACAGTATTATTAAAAGAAATAAGGCGTAGAAGATATGTTTGGGAAAACATAGGTTTGTGGAATAAGAAAGCCAAGAAACTTACGATCTGAAGGAAGACAAAGACTGAATACGTCTGCGCTATGGAGAACAATTTCGAGCCTTGTCACCTAAAGCCTCTAACCACAAGCGGCCCTCTTTGTGGAGAAGCGGATAAGATAGGTACTATCAATACACTCCAAACTTGGAAAACACGTGCTTTCAGAAGTTTACTAGTTGTTATCACTTTTTAACGAAAGCTATTTTCAAAGCTTCCAAGTGTTGAAAACTATAAATTTGAGTACTTTCAAATAATTGGAAAAATGGTAACATTTGAGTATATTATTGTAAAAGCTTCGTTACAAAATTGTTAAATAACTTGAGAAAACAACTAAGTTGTTTTCAAAATAATATTTAATACTCTAGATAATTTGAAAAAGATAAACAAAATCGAGGGAGTAAAATAAATTATGAACTAAAGAAAAGCATTTTGTTTCCAGAGAACAAAGAAAAATAGAGGGGTCGGTCGAATAAGCATTGATTTAATCTGGAGGTTTCAAATTATATTTACATGAATTATTCATAACTTGATTAGTTACGCCTTCATTAGTAGAACTTCGGGAGGGAAAGTCACTTGATTCTTTTGTTACACAATTTGTAAGTATTTCTGACGAACCATTGTTTGTACTGACATTAAAAAACCCCATTAAATAAGGATTACACGAGTTTGACATTGGTGTGTTTAGTGAGCTATTTAATACATTTCCTGAAGATGATGTAACATAAGGAATTGAATTTAACTGTGGAACTAAAAGTAATCGATTTCTGGCCATTTGTGCGGTTAGAAGAAGGCTAGAGGATAACGGAGTTAATGAGAGAACATTTTGTGATGAAGGAGATACACTAACTGGAACATATACCACTTTTTTACATTCAGATGAGTTGGAAATGTTAGTTGCCTGAGAAATATTATTACAAAACGCTTCATTATTTAACGATACAGTACGACCATTTTGACCAGAATCTATGATTGTTTTTGGGATGATACCAATACGATGCTCCAATTCATCAACATGATTTTGATTTGACAATGTAGGAACTGTGTCATTTTGTAACGTTGAGTTCACTTTACTGTCTTTATTGGATATATTTTTTAAATCACTAACGTAATCCTTTTTACTACATGTATCAGTGTTAACAATGACTGTACCATCTTCCTTCTTGCAAACTTTCCGACAATTTACATTTTTATTACCTTGCGAACTGCTTAAATCTGGCTGATCACTTTTTATCGATGAATTGTTTGAATTCACAGATGAACTTAGACAAGTCTGTATTAACTTTTTACCACATTCCAATTCAATAATACCTTTTAATCTTTGTGTTGCAAACGTATAAACATGATTTGTTTCTGAAGCAACAAGTAATAATACTTCTGCACCCGTTAATTCAGCCAATTCCACAGCCTTTTTCATAAGTCCAGTTTTACGTTTTGAAAAAGTAGAACATCTCTTAGTACGATCAGAAATAAATTCAATAGGTATCTTTTGTTTTCCTTTTGTAAGTTTTTCACAAGAATTACGTTCATCTGTGAATGAAGGTTGTTGGGTAATTATATCAGTGATACCATTAATGTTGGTGCATAATCTGCGTTTACTACCAGGTGGATGAATATCAGTAAACGATGTATTGTCATTAACTTCAGAAATATTGATCAACTGAACGCTATTATTTCCCAATTGTGTGTCTAATTCACTGTCACTAGTAAAATTATAACTGTTATCTCCGCTGCTTGACAAATTTTCTGGGCATTCAGTGATGAATTTATAAACATGAGGTGATGACTCCGTAAAATATATTCCATTATTAACCGAATGAGCAACACTCTCCATAGTTCCCATACCTTTCCGAGTAAAAAATAGATTAGCTGAATACTGATTTAGAAGAAAGTTTATATAAATCTCTAGACCAAAAATAACATGTGGAAGTAAGCAGGTTATATTGTTAACTGATGGAAACATTTTATAACATATTCGGAAGGTTATCTGTTAAATGAGATTTCAAATAGATAATTTTTGATAATCTCTTACTAGATTTGGCTTGTACGAATCTTGAGAATTTCGAGATTCTGCCAAAGATATTGAGAAATTTTGATATTTTTGTTCTAAATAATCTTCGAGTTGACAAACTTATGAAAAATCGGACATACTCGAATTATATCTGCTGTACGATAAAAGCAATGAAAATTTAATAAAATCGTGAGTCAATTGGAGCTAGACCAGCATCGAAAACCTGGAAGCACTGGGCGGCCGTTTCGTCCTACTACGGGACTCCTCAGCAGTTCACAACCATGATCCCGCACCCACGAAATTCGAACCCAGGACCTACCAGTCTCGGGCCGAAACCCTTAACCAATAGACCACTGAGCCGGCATCATACGATGTTAATGTCTAACTTCAACCAATCCACGATTTTGAGCGACCGTTCACCAATTGTCTTCAGTGAGTTGATATCTCTACAACAGACTTGGAAGAACTCTGATTTAACAACCTCAAGTGGTGTCCGTCAAGGCTGTCAACTATCCCCATTTTTGTTTAACTTCATTATAGACCTGTTGCTGGAAATAACGTTCTCGTCGACTGAATTTTCAGGAATTGATCTTCTACCAGGAGGTTCACTTATCGACTTAGAATACGCAGATGACATAGTCCTGTTTGGTGAAGACGCTGACAAAATGCAGAGTCTTCTGTTAGAACTGAGTAATAATGCCAGGATGTTTGGGATGCGTTTCTCCCCATCCAAATGTAAATTGTTACTCCAGGACTGGCCTGCGTCAACACCTGAACTAAGGATAGGGAGTGAAGTAGTCGAATGCGTCGACAACTTCACTTATCTTGGAAGTCTGATCAGCCCTAATGGGTTGGTGTCTGACGAAATCTCTTCACTGATTCAAAAAGCTCGTTTGGCTTTTTCCAACTTACGTCACCTATGGCGAAGACGAGATATCCGCCTATCAATTAAGGGACGAGTATACTGCGCAGCAGTTCGCTCTGTTCTACTTTACGGCTGTGAAACATGGCCATTAAGAGTAGAAGATACTCGTAGGTTACTAGTATTTGACCACAGATGCCTTAGAAATATTGCTCGCATCTGCTGGGATCACCGGGTAAGTAATAGTGAGGTTAGACGCAGGGTATTAGGGAACGATGGTAAATCAGTTGATGAGGTGATGAATCTTCATCGACTGAGATGGTTGGGCCACGTGTTTCGTATGCCTGAACACCGATTACCACGACGCGCAATGTTGAGTAGTGTAGGGGATGGTTGGAAGAGAGTTAGGGGCGGATAAACCAAAACATGGCATCAGTGTTTGAAGTCATTAACTTCTAGTCTGAGCCATGTTGGCAGATGCAGACTACCTGGCTGGGGTCCACGTGACTATCGTAACCAATGGTTGGAGACTCTAGGTGACATGGCTCAGAATCGATCACAATGGCGTAGGTGTATACACTCTTTATCTTCCCTTAAACCTTGAAATTGCTTCATAACGTTCTTTCTTCCCATACTATATCCTTATATACAACCTATAATTTATATACTACTACCACCACTAAATTAATTACTTCTATGAATCCAGTGTTCATCTTGTTGTGCTAACGAGGTACGGCAACTTGGACCGATGCATATATGTGCCTGGTCCTACGTTGTCGCTGACTGACTGAGAACTCCACTAGTAGGACGAAACGGTCGTCTAGTGCTTCCAGGTTTTCGATGGTGGTCTAGTTTCAATTGACTCATGATTTCAATAGTGCAAATACTAAATTCTCCACAAAACCCCCTCTGAATTTAATAAAAGTCAAGATATTTGCTAATATATGACAACTTGTCATATGTTTTTATATCATAGAATGAGTAAGAAGTTTTTCTAACCATTGAAAGCTTTATAGCATTCACAACGTAATCTTAGAAACAGCACTCTGAAGTATAGTTAGGTTCTTGCTGTTTGCACCACATTAAATTGGACAACGAATTACCTTGGATGATTTAAATTTCTTATCTTCATAACGAACAGTATAAAATAAAGATCCAGTTATTTCCCTAGCTTCATATGGCTGGATTTGTGCGACTGAGAATTTAAATATGATGATTCGACAGCCAATGTCAACCGCCATATAAACGCATGCATCGCATTAAATACGAAAGAAAACACTTCACAACTTCATACAGCCTAAACATCACCTACATAATGTCCGATTAAACGAGGTTTCGATAATTCGGAAGAAATATGATACGAACTTTCACGTATTCATTTTCTGTCTATACTCCTAATAACTGTAAACTATGAGAAAAATATCCCGCAGAAATTTACCTGTCCACCAACAAGACGGTAAATTCAGTAATCATAGAAAGTAAAATTAACTTTCAGAGGGAGAAAGTTGCTCAGTATTATAAGTGCTATCTGATAACTACGTAATTTGGCAGGTATAATCTACAAGTGCACATAAGGGAAATGGGGCTTGGAAGATAAAAACTTGATGATAGGCTCAGGTACCTATCATAAACATCAGATTAGCAGAAAACATTTATGAACGATTGCAGACACTTATGAAAAGGCCAGAGTCACACTTGAACGAATGGTGAAAAGTTTGAAATCAAAATCTTCAGTGGCAAGTACAAAAAAAATGTGGCAAAAAACATTCAAAATCATATCGATATAGGATTCAAGCAAGAACACATTTGAAACATAAATCACTTCTCTCGAAATCACATCTCAGCCTATGAAGAACATAAGAGAGTTTATTTATTATTTATTTAAACACATACATATTGGTACAAAAGGGCACCAGATACATATGCGCCACACAAAATAATGAAAGTAGGAAGAGAAGGGATGAAAAGATAAGGCGGACTGAAATGTACAACCAGAAGACTCTTTCAGTCAAGAAAGTTAGAACCATTCTTTATGTAGAAAGTAAAAGAAGGTTGCAGTAGGATCGCCACTGGCTTCTATTCTGAGCCATATCTGATAACGTCTCTAGCCACTGTGTTGCACCATCTCTCGGACCCCAGCCAGGGAGTCGTGAAGGTTCAACAGAAGCTAGCCCTTTGCAGCTTTCTTTCATGCCACGACACCATGTCATACACTGACCTCCTCTCCGCTTTTTCCAACCAGTCCCAAAGTCGGCAAATAATGCACGGCGTGGAAGTCTCTGGGACGACATTCGTAAAACATGTCCGAGCCACCGAAGTCGGTGTTCCAAGATGGTGACACTAATTAGATTATCGTCTCTGCGCCCGAACACACGATGCCGAACCTCTGCATTACTAACATGGTGTTGCCACTGGATGTCAGCAATCCTTCGGAGACAACGATGATCGAACACAGAAAGACACTGATTGCCAACTGATTAAGTGCGGATTGCATGCCTTGGGCATTATCGCACAGTAAGACAATATCATCCGCATACTCGAGGTCGAGAAGTCGTTCTCCAGGCAACATATCCACACCGCCATTACTTACATCCATCAGAGCTGTTTCCAGGATGTCGTCGATGGCAAAGTTGAAGAGGAATGGTGAGATCGGGCAACCCTGTCTAACCCTACTGCTCGAATGGAACATGGGAGATAGGTGGTTGTATGCCCTCACTCTGCCTGAGGTGTTCGTATACAGGGCCTTTAAGATGTTAATGAACTTCTCAGGCACACCCTTCTTCAATAGACAATCCCAGAGAACAGTTCTGTCCAAAGAATCGAAGGCAGCCCTGATATCAAGAAACACTACGATTGTTGGCCTGCGATAAGTATGACGGTGTTCTAACATTTGGCGGAGGGTGAAGATGTGATCGATGCATCCTCGACCAGAACGAAAACCAGCCTGCTCCTCGCGAGTCAAACGTTCTCGGGTTTTAAACAACCTACGAAGAATAACAGAAGCCAATAGTTTGGACGCAATCGAAAGTAGACTTATCCCCCGATAGTTATTGCAGGAACAACGTGAACCCTTTTTAAAGATAGGGAAGACTATTGACTCATTCCAAGATGTTGGAACACTTTCTTGCTCCCAAACCTTTCCAAACAACACACTCAATTCCTTAGTCAGAAAGTCACCACCATCTTTAAAAAGAGACGGAGGTAAGTCATCTGGGCCAGGTGATTTTTAGCGCTTCAAGAGTTGGAGTTCCTTGAGGACTTCCGCCTCGTTTGGTGGATCAGTCGTCACCGGCCATGGGGGGCAGGACAAACTGGTTGACGTTGCCGGAGCAGCAGGCCAGTTGAACTGCCCTTCGAGGAATTCCGCCCATCGTCCAAGACGTCGAGAGATGTTAGTGATTGGCATCCCGTTATCCTCGTAGATTGTTTCACTCACACCAAACTTCTTGCTGCCAGTGGCTCGGATGAGTTGGAAGAGCTTACCAGATGCAGCTGCTGCTTCCATCTCATTACCAAACGGTCCCCGTTATCTGTCCTGCGACCAACAAGTCCCCATCGACCACCTAAACGACTCTCTTCTGTGCCTAGACGCCCCACCTGTGCATTCAAGTCTCCGGCTAGTACTACAATATCTGTCGAACACGCTTTCTGGAGAGGAACTGTTAACTGATAGTAAAACTTATCCTTGATTGCATCCGGGCTGCAATCTGTCGGGGCATAGGTGGAGATGACGAAAAGACACCGTTTCTCACGCCGATTTCTTCTCAATTTGATGGAACTTTCTAATCTAACAGCACATAACCGACTGTTAATGGGGATCCAATCGATTAGTGCTGCCTCAGCCCTAGCGCTTAGTGCGACACCAACGCCAGCAAGACCAGACGAAGATGCCACAGAGTCCCCGGATAAGCGCACGTGAAACAAGCTTTTCGAAGCGACAGATGGAGAGCGAATTTGTAGTACATCACTAGA